GCTGCCCCTCCCCACAGGTACGCGGGCTCGCCTGCTGCCCGGTGCGCCCAGGCCTGGCGCTGAGGCCCTCGCCCCGCCTCAATGCTGCTGCCGTACCGCCTCGACTGGAAGTGTGCCTCCTCTAGGGGACGCAGCCAAGACCTGTCAGGTCCTCCACGCCGGCGCCGCTCCGAGATCTTCGGCGTCCTACGTAGAAGGGCTGCCCTGGGGGCGTCCTGCGCCTGTCATCCCCTCCCTACATTCCCAGAAGCTGAGTTCCCCTGAGATGAGGCGGGAGGGTCTGGTCACGCTGAGCCAGACTCTCCTCCTCCTGCGTTCAACCTCATTCATGCACTCTCTCAGTGAGTTCATTCAACAAATGGGAACTGAACGCCTACTACGCGCCAGGCACAATGCTTAGGCGTTCACCGTTCCAAGCGAGTGCATAGTCCCTGTAGTGACCCTATAGGCTCCCAGACCTGGAGGTCTCGGGTCTCACTCCAGCAGGACTGACGCGGAATCACCACCTATGCCAGGAGTCGTGCCACCCTCCGCGGGCAGGTGTGGAGACATCCTAGAAATACCCAGCCTGGAAAAAGAGAGAGAGCCCTTTAAGAAAGCTTTACAAGCGGGGTGGTGACAGGCGCCGAGCGCTGCGCCACGTGATTTTTCCACAGGGGGCGGGCGGAAAGGCGAGAGTCTTCACAATCCCCCCGCCTTCTCCCACCCTACAGTGCACCAATGAACTTTCGTGATAGGCGGGAGTGCACCTCACAGATAGCCAATCGTGGCCAAGGAGACGGGGAGGGAGGGCGGGAGAGATGGAGGCCGGGAAGGAGGCGGGGTCAGTCTCCGGCTCCACCCCACGCGGGAAGTGGGCGGGGCCTCTGTCAGCTCGCTGGCCCCCTCGCAGGAGGGCGGGGCAGAGGAGGTGAATGGATCCTCAGGTAGCCCTGGAACAAAGCGTGTTGACTGGGATGGCGCGCGTGCGCACGGGCGTCTCGCAGGCCCTGTGGGATGGAGCTTGCACCCGGGCCCTGCTGTCAACCTGTTCGATTCCTGGCGGAGTGTGGGGTATCCCCTCCTCCCGGGTCTTGCTCCTCCAACTCTGCCCAGATCTGGTCTGCTCGGAGCCACCTAGCCCCACCTCCAATTAGAGGAAGTCGGGTCAGGTGGGCGCCCTAGTGCTGGTTTGCCAAGGCAGGGTTTACAGAACGGAACTAGAGTATTTGCGCTTTCCACTAACCTAATCGGAAAGCATGAAGAAGGGAGCGGTCCCTGTGTCTGCTGGTCTTCCATGCCAAGTCCTTTTACTTAAAGGACTTCACCCCGGGCACAGTGCTGTGTCCCAAAGAAGCAGGGTTCTCTCCCACTGCCACGAGACTGCGCCACAACCAGCTGTGGTCTTATTCCCAGGATTTCGATTCATACTGACGTCGTTATTTGTGCGGGGTCCTTAGGTTCACTCTGGGAAAGGTCTCATCGAAGCTCCCCTTTTAGCAGCACACGGCAAGTTTCTCCACTCATATTTACAGAGACAGACACTCACTTGTATTTACAGAGCAGGTTTATTAGGAGTAGGGGCAGACAGAGAAGGAGACTTGCATAGACACAAGCAGGCAGAAGCCTGTCCCAAAGGGACAGGCTTGCTGAGAGGCCTGCGTGGTTGCAGGCGGGCGGCCTTAGGAGAGCGGCCTCCGCTGAGGGAGGTCAGTGCAGAGAAGCCCTGGCATGGTGCAGGTCGCGGGCAGGCAGGAGGCTGCTGCCCTGCAGAGGGAGAGAGAATGGGTGGAAAGAAGCACCTGCACAGTCACAGGTGGGCAGAGGACTGCTGCCCCCAGCCAGTGCAGAGACTGCTCTGATACAGTCCTTTTCTCTGTGGGAGGGGCTCATGCCTTTGTGGAGTGGCCTGTTTGTTGCTGATTCTGGATAACTGTGTAGAATCTCACAGTAGGCCCAATCTCTGTATCGTTACCCTCAGGTCTGTGTTTCCGATATTCCCTACAGCAGTCTGATACAGGAGTCTCTGTGACTGGGTTAACGGCCATGTTAGTTCCTTCTGCCCTATGTCCTTGCATGAGTCAGGTTTTAACCTTGTCTCCTTCTGGTTTTCTATTCTTTTCCTCCACCAGTACCAACAGAGGTGAAATGAGGTCTCCAACCTCCTGCCCCAGAATGTCCAGGGGTTGTAGGGCAGATCTCACATCCCTAGGGTCCCAAGACCTGTGGAGCTTCCAGGTCCTGAGAGGCCCAGACTCTTGCTCTGCCCTTCCACTTGCTGCTGGTGTATAGCGTTGACCAGAGTGGCAAGCTCACTTCTCTGGGTCTCAGTTTACCCATGTAGGAAAATGCAGTGCCCAGCCAGCCCACAAATCTACCCAACTAGGAAGGTATGTCCTCAGGCAAGGCCTCAGGGAGAGCTGTCAGGGATGGAGGCAGCACACACAAAGAGGCCTGGTGTGTGAGGAAACTACTATAGGAGTTTATAAAAACAAAACAAAATGGCAGAACAGAACCACAGGGGTGGGGAATCACTCCTGGGAGGGTGGAGGGCTCACTGAGAGCCTGTGGAGCAGGTGAAGCACCAGGTCCTTCCTGGATCTTTGCCAACAGTGGCTAGAGGAGGAACTGGCCAGCACTCTCACTGGTGGGGACACAACTTTCACTGTGTCCCCAGTTTGTTTCCCATCCTTTCACACCAGCTTGTGATGGCTCCAGTGTCTCCTCCCCTCTCGGCTCCAGGGTCATACTCCCTGAAGAGAACTGTAAGGACATGTGGGGTAGGGAAGATTTCCCTAGGGGTGGGCTCTTCCTCCTGCTCCTCTCTCGTGGATGTAGAGAGGGGCAGGATGTGGGTGAAGACAAGGGACAGCATGCAATAGAAGCAAAGCGGTGGAGGGGATTCCGCCTGACCGTGTGAGGCGCCAGCATGCCCCAGGTTCTCATCACCCAGGAGAGGCCTGAGGCTTCGGTTCCTGAGTGCACCTCCACGGAGACACAGTGCATAAAATGGCTCCTAACCCTGCTGCTGCAGAGCTGTTTAACTTGCAAGGCCCAGAGCATAGCCAGAACTTGTCCATGCTCACACAGCAAGGGGCGAGGGCTGCCCCTGCTCAGGCCTCACCCGGCAACTGTAAGCCTCCCTCAAGGATGCTGGGAGAGGGGAGTCCTGGGACTCTGGGAGGCCTTGGGATCAAAGACATTCCTTTTCTTCAGGAATGTGGCTTTTCCTGCCCTTTCAGGGGTTTGGCCCTCCCTCACCCTCTGGAGAGGTGGGCCTCACCAGGGTCTCCCTGAGGGGTGGGGTAAGGACCCCCAGACTGGTTAGGGTCGCTGGGAGTGAGTTGGTCTTGGGAGGGGAGCTCTGAAGGCTATGCCTCTCCTGCTCACCTGCAAGTCTTTGCACAGGGTGCACATTTTTTTTACCTGTTGCCTGTCTTGTAGAAGATCCTAGCTCAGGTATCATGTTTGGGAAGTCCTCCTCTGATCCTCCAGGCTAAATTAGCCCCTTCTCCATGCTCCTGACATCCCTGCACTGGCTGTCTCTCTCTGGACTCTACCATATGGTAGTCACTGTTTGACAGCCTCCCCACCTCCCAACTTTCTCCTTTTGGATGCCTGACAGCATGCCTGCCTCCCCTCAAACCCATTCCTCCTCCTGTCATCCCTCTTCACCCAAGCAACAGGCCCAAACCCATGAGGTTTGGAATTGTCTTCCCTGTCTGCGCAAAATCAGTTCCAGAACTTCACAGTAAAGGGGCCTTCCCAGTAAGACAAGGATTGACCGTGAGGGTAGAATGCTTGTTCCAAGAGCAGATATGAATTGGTGGAAACGCCAGCCCTACACACACAGAGACTGGTGACGCAGGAGCTGTGTCGCGAAGAGTAAGCAGCTTTACCCACTAGTGCCATGGAGCGCTTGGAGATGGGCCACTATGGTTTGAATGGCACATGCCGAGAGGAGATATGGAGGGGTTGGGTCATTGCCCTCCCATCCTAAGACTAGCGCAAATGTAGGGTGAGCTTCTGCCTGCTTCAGGGGGCATCTTTCCAGTAGGGGTCTCTATTTCATACCCACTCTGGTAGCTGAGCATGCACTGAGGCCAGGCTGGCTTCTCCCAAGCTGCCACCGCCACTGCTGCTGCTGCTGGTGACAGAGCCAGCCTCTCTCTGTCCAGGTCTGGTCCACCAGACTGGGGAAATGTGCCATCAGAGCTCTTCCCGAGACCCAATCTGGGGTCACTCTGCTTGCCCTGAAACTCATGGTGAGATGCCTGCTTGCCTAGACTGTCGTCAGAACAGTCATACACCAAGCCAGCAGTGCACTGCTAGAGGTCTGGCAACTCTGCTGGTCAGAACTCCTGGCTACACACACACATATGTGCATGTGCACACTTACATACAAGGACACATACACACAGGTGCAAACAACACATAGACCTACCTAGGGAACGGCAGACTCACAGGCACGTGTGTGTGCCTGCGGAAGTACTCAGACACTGACCTGCTCACAGGTGCAGGTATGCACAACAGCGTGTACACACTTGAACCCTGTGTGTCTGGCCACTCTGCACTGTTGGAGAGGCATTCACAGACAGGTACCCCCAGAGGGGTTGTGACAAGCTAGTGGGGCCTACATTTGACCCCCCCAGGCCTCCAGTCACCATGTCTTATTGCCTCTAGCCTGGCTCTCTGTGGTG